ATATATATATATATATACACAATAAGAATTCAGACATTATATAACATATATAAAAGTACATACATATTAATAAGGGTGTATTTATGTATAACATACATAAATACATCCTTATTTTCATCCTATCTGGTTTAAAGACGTGCACTTTTCGTCGGCATTGTGCTACAAATTCATCCGAGGATCATCAAGACAGCAATCGGCTTATAACGCTCAAATTGAATGCAAACAACAAGGAGGAAACATTGCAGTAAGAAGAAATGACCAGCAGTACGAGCAGTTGGTAGAGAGTGTTCTTCACACATTGCCTGTATATGAAGAAAGTTATTTCAACGTACACCTAGGGGAAATAAACGTAGGGACGTGTGCTAAAGTTTCAATAGAAGACGGGATACTAAACTTTTTTAATTCTGAAAAACTTGAAAAGAGCGACTGTAACAAAAATCAGTCTATTAACTCTCTTATGTGCGAGGCTACTACAGGTACGTGTCAAATAGTTAACAAAATACGATATGCATTAAATTGTTTTTGTTTAAATAATAAAACCGTACAAATCAACAGTAATTAAATAGGTACACTCCCTTTCACTGTGATTTACTATGTAAAGGGGAAATAAGACAGTACAAAGATAACAGGTAGAGCCTATAGGTACTGTAACTTAGATAACATCCTTATTTTAATATATACAAATATTTCTATACAGACAAATAAAATGATAAAATCACAGCCACGGGCGCCGCAGATCATGGGAACGGGGGGACACCTTCCCCGATATATTTTTAAGGTTGGTTGGTTATCCCCCACTCCCTACTTTTCGGTGGCAATGTGCTTTCATAAAGATGCCTGGAAATGAACTGCATAAAATACAGACCCAGCTGGTTTGAACGAAAGAGCCCTGTACAGCCAGTGTACATCTTCTTATAACAACGTACCGGTATCTCTCCCCACAAATATAAAAAATGACCTATACATTGAGTGCTCGTGCCTTTATAATAATCTTAGAAGATGAGAAAAAAAAAAAAAACGTGTAAAGATAAGATTTGTTTTTCGGCACATGAAGTAGGTAAAGTAAAGTAAATACATCAAAGACAATTAGGTGTAAATTTTATTTTCTATGGTGCATCACAGGGATTAAATAGATCTTTATAATTGATTGATTGATATAATATATATTTATGTATATATAAAATGAAAATACTGTATACCGTATTGCTTACAAATGCTAATATTTGATAATTTTAAGACCTAAATTGGTTTAACACAGGAGATATATGATTTCCCATCATATCTTTCTCAACATACTTCTGAGCATCTGCAGAACTTGCCTAAAGACCCCAATGATCGCAGTCAATTAAGATCAGCCAGTTTCTTATCATTCTTTGTATGTGTTTGACGTCATAATTTTACTATATACTCGAATGTGACTAGACTCCCAGAGATGTATAAGGCACGCCCTCTTCTGTGCATTACTTTTTTAAGTTTGCTGGATCTCGAATGGCGTAGGCTACTTTTATGTATAATGTTATTTTAAAGGCATATGTTATATGAAAAAAGTGTATCTAATGGTGTTCGAACCTTCAACCTCTCGCTATCAACCATCATACCATTAGATCACAGAGACGGTATAGGCACAGACCCAAATGGCACTTTCACTCATATGCTTTCGCTTATCAATAGTCATCCAAAAAAGCTTATGCCGCAGCTTGGTTCAGCTGCAGCCTATAAGCTTTTTTTTTTATATATATTTTTTAATGCTTATATTTTTTTTCTCCTCCATCATATTATTCTATTATGCTAGATTTAATCGATACATTACGTCCTACACCAAAAATGAATTTATTGCCAACTACAAGTAAAACAACTGCAGACAGCATTACAACCTTTTATGTTGAACCAATGGAAGAAGATCAAGTAAAGACACCACGCCTATATATTCTAATACCACTTCTCATCTTAGTGTTTCTAATTGCCGTGTCAAGTTTGTTCATCTGTTGTCAAAGAGGAATGCGGAAAAGGTTATTAAACATTTACTTAACCTATGTAAAAAGGGGACAGAAGCATAGCAGTATTATTATTGCATAAATATCCGTATGATGATCTTTAAGATTCTACAGTATAGAACCTCTATTACGGGGACTCTTTCGGGACCAACAAATTCTGAATAAAATAAAAATTTAGCTTGCATATGCCAGTATGCAACCAAATATGGCCGCAATGATGTCAATCGGCCGGTCCGGCAGGCAAGGAGTTAAGTAATATCCGCTATACAAAGTCTAGCCTTTTCAAATCACTCTCTCCTTTTAATTTCCATTGTGTGGTTTTAATTTCTACCTAAATGGTATTTAAATAGAAGATTGACTCCGTTTTATTATTATTATTATTATTATTATTATTATTATTATTATTATTATTATTATTATTATTATTTATTTATTATTATTATTATTATTATTATTATTATTATTATTATTATTATTATTATTATTATTATTATTATTTATCTATTTATTTTAGACGTTGCAGTCGTCACAACGAACAGCTAGCCTTATCAGGAGTCTCGGATGAAAATATCAAAAGAAGTTAGTTTAATTAAATTATCCTCATTCGTTTTATGTTTTAATAACCGCCGTTGTTGTCTTTAATTGTTGACAGGAGATTATAAATAAAAATCTATAGGCCTTAATGAACATTCTGTAACATGGATGCAGTCCTACTTAAAGCCGGGCACTGACTGGGTCGTACGGCAGCCGTTACGACCGTCGCATGCGAATCCAACTCTGCTCCCTGTGAGCGCTAGACGACACGACGCCGTCTGCTGATTGTCGGTGTTGTCTAAACGACGGATCGTCATTAAAAGCGATCAGTTGCACGCCCGTCGTGTCGCGTTGCGTTCGTAATAGAATCGCGTCGGCCGACGACTGTTCGGCGCAGTGCGTGCGCGGCTAAGAGGCAGGTTACAGTCAGCTGACATAAAAGGGTCCCAATCATCTATGTTGGAAACCAGATGTGTAGTGCCTCAGAGTTCCATTCTCGGGCCACTCCTATTCTTAATTTATGTCAGCGATGGAATCTGCCTTAGCAACTCTCACATTATCGCGACCTAGCACTGCGATGAGAACGACTACGATTAGACTGACGACCAGTACCGACCACAATAAATTAAACTCTGCGACATGCACGACCTCTGCCTTTTTCACGAGCAAGTTGCTATTACCCTATCCCACATTCACGATTTTTGCTACGACAGAGCACGATTTTTCAATTTTGAAATCGTAGCCGTGAAAAAGATCTTTGTCTACCGCAGCGGCATCGTGTGAGTGGCGTAACGTTGTCGTCGTTTGTCGTGACTGTGTCTTGTCCATTCGTACTACCAACAACACCTACGACAAGCCAAGACGTCGCTGCGGTGCTGAGACGATTAGATACGATATGCCACCAGGATACCATCAAGACTCTGGTTTATATCACGTGGCTCTGTGTCAGAAAAGTTTTTCAACACACTGAACAATTCCATGCTCACTTGGAGGAAGTTTCTGAAGCCTCTTTGGTCTTCTTTATTTAACTCTACTAGTAAGTGTTCATACTGACTAAAATATGGACGACGTAAGAGCCATGGCTGTACCCAGACACTTCGTTTAGGCCTATGCATTCGACGTGACCGACGCTTACTCTTGATTATCAAAACTGTAGCAGCCAACAAATTTTCTTCTGCTTCTATAGCAGCAGCTTGCAAATATTGATGGTGTTTGAACAGTGCGCTTTTTTGTCATCATGTGATGTTGTTCTTGTGATGTGCGTCTTGTTAAATCGTGCTAACGTCGTGCTTGCGTCTTTGAAAAGTCGTAGTGACGTCGAATTAAAATTTTGATAATTTGTAGTACGTCGTCATTCTATCGATGTAATTCGTAAAAATGTCGTCGCATTATCGCATTAGTGCCGTAATACATCTTGACGGCGTCCTAGTAGCATCTTGATGAAACGTAAAATTTGAACTTTTTGAGTACGAATCACTACGATAGAGCGCGATTTTAAAATATTTGTGGGAATGTGGGAAAGGGGCATTAGCCACGACGGTGTCTGTCGTGTACCGATCGCAGTGTAGGTCTTGATAGTGTGAGAGTAGCTTTTTAGACTAAATTAATTATATATGCTGATGATGCAGCACTTATGGTATAGACCTACCTAAGGGGTTAATCGAATCTAAATTATGGAATGAATTCCAGTCACTAAATCAATGCATGGTTATTGATAATAAGTTTAAATTTGGGTAAGACTGAATCAATCCTCATTGGTACAAGACATATGTGTAAAAAACAATCCAAAATTATGGACATTACCTGTAATGATAAGTCTATTGAAGCAAAATCATCCATTAAATACCTGGGTCTTGAGCTTGATCAACATTTATCTGACAGAGACATTGCCGAGACGATAGTCATCCGAAAAGTGCACTGCTCTAGTTATAATATAGAAATATAAAATGTGTCACTCCATATGCCCCTAAATTCATCGGTTCTTTCTTCTGTGACTCAAGCACTATGATTATGGATGTTTGCATTTGGTATTCTGGCCTTGATAATGCAGCCAAAAATAAACTTCAGACATCCGAAAAAATTATTAGATGTATATTAGGTATCGGATCTCGTGCAAATGTTGGTTATAATGGATTTCTAAGTTAAATTGGTTGCCAATTGATCTCAGGTTAAGGAACGAACAGTTTATAATATTTACAAAATGATTAACTATATTTTTAATTTAAATTCAGGTATCACTATGGCTAACCAAACATATAATTACAATACAGATTTGCTACCGACAGAATTTCATTATGTTCCTAAGTCCTGTCGACAACCGCTTCACACATTCATTGAAAGCCC